ATCGTAATCCGTCAGGTCGACATCAAACACCAGCTCGCGCTGCACAGGGCGGAAGCTGGGGGGCAGGGGGTCGCGGGAGCCGGGGCCCCGGGGCGTCGTGGGCATGGGGTGTCCTGCTGCTCATGGTGGTCCCTTGTGGAATTGGCATGCTGTTCCTCTGAGGCCTACTATATTGCTCGGCACACATGCAGCACAACATGAATACACACAAGCTCACTCAAACACACACACACACACACACACGCAGCGTGGCCGCCGAGCGTGCCAGTGCTCACCCTTTGCGTACTTGGCCCTCTGCCGCGGGTCCACTGTGTAGACGGGGCCAATGTCGATCGTCGTAGGCACCTGGGGGCGCAGGGGCAGGGCGCAGGACGGGACAAAGGGTGTTTGGGCGGTCATGCGACATGCAATCAAGGCAGGGGACGTGAGGGCACTAAAAGCCAACCATGACAGGCTAAGGCCCGGCATGGCAGCCGCTGGTCCAGAGTGTTCCGGGCTGTCAACAGGCACGCAGGGGTCAGGGGTGCAAGCCGCGGGGCCGGGGCAGCTCGCCTTTGTCGCAAGTGCGGACGCCAGCCCGGCAGCGGTCTGCGGGTTGGGGATGAGTGGCGCGGGGTTCAGGGGGCGCCGAGGGCTGCCAGGGGCCTGCCGAAGCGCCGTCAGTCAGCCCGTGCGCAAGGCGCGCCGCCGGGGCAGCGCCTTGTCCCAGGACGCGCCACCCCTCTTAGTTGGGGGGGCAGGCCGCTAGTCGGGCGCCCTGATGCCCCGCAGCAGCGCGTCTTTCCCAAGTAAAAGCGTCCTCAGGTAACAGCGTCCCCAAATCGAGGTCGTACCGCGCCCAGCTATTTTGCAGCAATCAGGCGCCGCTGCAGCGAGGCCGTGATCACCAGATCGCGGGATCACCTCGTACGACTGGTAGCGCGCGAAGATGTCGCCCTCCAGGGTGAAGCACAGCTCGCGGCGCGCGGTGAACGACGGGTCGGCGCCTGGGACGCCAGAGTCTGGGGGAGGGGCGACCAGGGTGGGGGTCTATTGCGGGAGAAGGGGTCGCACAAGGGCATGCTTTGACTGTCGGCTTGGTTAGCCTGGCCTGGGTGCTGGTCAAATCATGCGACGTGGCGTGCTGCTGTGAGGGGTGGCCGCTGGTTTTGCGAGCGGCGCAGGGCGGTCGGCGGCGAGCGGCGCCGCTGCACGCGCGTACTGCTGCCAACGCGCTCCGCGAGTCCCGAGGGCAGCCGTGAGGGGCGCCCGCCGGCCGCCGTGCTCACCGTTGCCGTAAGCCAGCCATTTGTGCATTTGGTTCGCCGGGAAGAGGCGGCCTGCGACGCAAGCACGGACACATAGCAGGGTGGCATGCGTTGCGGTCGCAGCCTGATCGTCGCGACCGCAACGTCGCGAGCAGGGCACTCTTCTCGCTCCCGACCAGCACATGAGAACACCGTGTCCCCGCAGAATGTCGCAAGCCCGCAATTCGCTGCTGATGCTGCAATGCTGTTGCCGCCGTAGCCGGCACGCAGGGTTGCCGCAGCCACAAGGGCTGGCGCGGCGCACTGCACAGGGTCCACCAACAGCACTCACTGTAGTATTGCTGCATCTGCTCCCGTGAGCATGTCTGCGCCGGCGGAGCTTTTGGCGCCGCCAGTGACTGCTGCTGCTGCTGCTGCTGCTGGTCGCCGCTGGGGCCTGGCGCAGTGTCGTCCACTGCAAGTGAGAGAGGCCGAAATAGAAGCATCGCTACGCTACCGTCGCGTTCACGGCAGCGTCTGAGCGGGGCATAAAGAATTCCATTGGCATAAATGTGAGATGCACTTTCAAGACGCAGACTCTGTTCACAGCACACCTGCCATGGGCTCCGCAGCGCCGCCCGCTGCTTCCAACTTGACACGTTTGCTGCCTGTTGCGTTCAAGCGTGCAGCATTGTCAGCTTCTGGTGTCGGTCTTGCAACGCGCAAAGCCTATGAATTACATATTAAAGCCTGGCTATACACTCCCAGCGCTAGCCCCGCAGTAAACAACCTGGCGTGCTCATGTTCTGCAGATCACGCGCGACACGCGCCACTGCCTATCGACGATGTTGCAGTCGTTTTACAGATACTGGTGTAACCACTGCAACTGCTGCCTATCTGTCAGATCATTTGGCGCGAAGGATGCTATGTTTGTATGTGGGCGGCAAAGAAGTCCATTACCCAAATCAGGCCTACGACTTCAATGTGCGCAATCCATCGCCATGTCACGGCTTGCCTTAGCCTGGAGTATCACCTGGTGGCGTCACCGTTGCACAAGTGACTCATTCAACCCGCCTACTGCATGCCATGCTCTTCAATACAGGTGATTGCACCACATAAAACAGCAGTGACACTGCGTGCAGACGGATGACCTAGATGCTCACCATCAAGCGCAAGGAATGCAACCGATGGTGCACTACACACAGCACGAGTGTGCTTGGGGCTGTGAAAGCTTGCACGCACCCCGTCCCCCCTGAGGTCGCATCGAAACAGCGATACAGCTGGCGTTGCGTGGAGATAATGCATATAGAATTCGTTCATTTAAGCAGCTGCCCCAATTATGTTGCTGCTCTATGTTTGTTGCACCCATACTGAGGGTAGGGCCACTGTGGGCGCACCCGCAGCGCCGCTGTGGCTGCGCTCGCAGCTGCTGGACGGCGCCCATCACGTGCACATCGCTGCGAGCCAGTTTCGCCAGATCAGACTGACACATCACATACGGTACTCCTATGAGGCAGAGCCCTGTCGCATTGGTACAGTACGAGGTCGGTGACGTCCTGGAATGAATGGGCCTGGCGCCGATGTTTAACGCCAGAGGGCGCGTCAAGCCAGCCTAGCGGCCGGTGGACTTGTGCACCTGCAACGTGACCGTGTCCTGGGAGGGACCAGCATGTGGTGGACAAGTGCAAGGGCGCAGGTCTATGATGCTGCTTACAGGGAAACCGCCTTAAATGATATACAGGGCTATGCTCGACTATGTGCTCTGGATTGCAGCTGCGACCGTGCAGAAGGGGCCCAGAGCAACGGTGGTCGGTGGTTGCAATGCTGGAGCGAGAATCATGTGTTCCAGCATGGCGCTGGGTGGGTGCAACAAGGGCAAGCACCATGTGATCAGGGCGCATCATCACCCCTACTGGCCTGTACTAAGTAATGCTTGGTCAACTGCAAAGCTTACTTGTGCGTGCGCCGCTGGGCACACGCGCCAAACAATGAAAGTGGGGTGCGAGGAACGCACAAGTGCACGTGTGCATCCTTCTATGACACTCAGTGTCGTCGCCGCCCGCTGCCCGGTGCTGGGTCTCCAGGGTCGCGGCAGCGCGGGTCGCTGTCTGGGTCTGCCAGTGCCTCGCAGGGCGGCGTGCAGTTGGGGCGGTCCCAGTTCTTGCCGTCATTGAGATCGCAGTAGTCAAAAAACTCCTGGCACATTGGCAGGTCGTAGTTCTCTTGGAGATCACACCTATTGGGTTGCCAGATGGAGTGGGAGGGAGGGTGGAGGTGAGCAGGGGTTGGGTGCTTACCCAGCAGGTGTTGGCGGACCAGCGGGTGAGCGTGAGGACAAGGTGGCGTCGAGTGTGCATGAGGACCTGCTTCACGCTGGATGCCACGCCACAGCTGGTCAAAGGCCGCCCCGTGGCCGCACTCCAGGGGCACTCACTTGTACTTGAGGCACTCGGCCTTGGGAGTGTTTGCCGCATCCTCGCACCATGAGGTGTAGTCGTATGTGTACCTGCGGCAGGGCCGTGTTGGATGAGTCACGGGCATTTACGTGCACGCTGGTTGTTGTCGGGAAAGCAGATGAATGCGAGTCGCATGCACGGCAGAGAGTGTGTGTTGCAGGCGCAGCTGCTGCAACTTGAACCCTGAGCCCTGCGGCCGCCCAAAGCCTGCCATGGGAAAACAGTGCTGGTGCGCGGCTGCAGTCATGGGGCTTACGGCATTGGGGGAAACTTAGACGAAGTCACCGCCGGTGGGGGCGGCGAGGGTGGCGGCGGTGGCGGCGGTGACGGCGGCGGCGGGGAGGGCGGCGGCGGCGACGGCGGCGGTGGTGGCGGAGAGGCCAGCAGCAGAGCTTGCTCCGCAGGCGGCGGAGGTGGCGACGAGGCAGGCGGGGGCGGCGGCGGCAACGGTGGCGGCGGTGGGGGTGATGCAGGGAGCGGCACTGGCGCCGGCACTGTCGAGCCCACTGGCCCTGGGTCTGGGGTGGTGAGGTTCACAGCTGGTGCTGGCGGCCCCTGAGAGGTGGGCATCGCTGCTGCTGGCTGCTGTGTGACGGGCTGCTGCACAAGTGGTACGACTGGCAGCGGCGCCGGTTGCTGCTGCTGGTGCTGCTGCTGCTGCTGCTGCTGCTGCTGCTGCTGCTGCTGTTGGGCCGGCACCGCAGCGCTGGGCGCCGCCGCGGGCGCCTCGTAGGGCGTGACCAGCACCTTGACTGCGTCCTCGTCGCCGTCGCCGCTGTCGTCCTTGACCCTCAGCCTGATCGACCAGGGCCCCTCTGGCAGCGTCACCGTGACGACCTCTCCGTACGCGCGGCGGTGGTCGCCGTCGTCCCGCAGGCTCCTGATCTCCCACGAATACTCCACCAGCTGCCCACCCCACACAGGCCGCGATGCGCTGCCGTCCAGCCGCACGCGGCCGCCGGCGTGGCTGGCGGCGGCGACGGTGCCGGGCGCGGACGCGACGGCGCTCGGGGACATGAGGGAGCCAAAGGCCGCGGCGGACGAGGCATCGGCGTCGGCTGCCCTTGCCGCGGCCCCGCCTGACGCGGTCGTGAGCGACTTGAGGGCGCCAGCCCCTTGCTGCTTGCGGGCCGCCGAGGCGACCAGGGGCAAGAGCAGGCGGGCGCCTGAGCGCGGTGTGGCGCCCTGCTGCGGCGGGGCTTCTGTCCCCTGCGGAGCAGCGGCCGCTTTTGCGGAATGCTCTGTGCTGGGCGTCAGAGGTGCTGTCTTCGACGTTGCGGTCATCACCACAGTGGTGGGCAACGGCAAGGCCCCCACACTTGTGTGGTGCACAGGCTGCTGCAGGACCCCTGTTCGTAATTTGTTCGCCGTAGGTGGCTGGCTGGCGACGCTTCCCCGCAGCTCCCCTGCAGCGCCCAGCAGTCCCCTGAAACGCCAGCTGCCGGTGAGCGTGCGGGGCTGCGGCACGTCATAGGGGCCTGAGGCATCATGAAAGGCCTTGATTTCGTGCTGCCAGACCCCCTGGCTGCGGTTGGTGCGCAGGCGGAGGCAGCAATGTGAGGGCCGGCGCTAGTAAGCTGCAGGTGCAGCAGGTGAGCGGTACGGCACATGCGGGGGCCGACAGGCTATTACTCGGCAGTTTGACATCATAAAATCATTTTTGCGTGCGCTGTGCCCATGGTAACTCCCCTGGCGAGTCCTGCCGCGCAAGGTGCGCAACTCACCCAGCGGCGAGTTGTGGGACGGTGGTGCAAAGCACGAGCAACTGCACGATGTGATATCGGTGCATTTTAGCTAGTTGAAAGCGCCATGTAGATGTCGACAGCCCGCGTGGGCCCGGCACCTTGGAAAACTCCTATATCTAGCCGTCGCGTGCGTACGCAAGGGGTCTGACAGGTGTTGCCGCCTCAATCTAGTGCCTGTGCCATAAATCGTCCAAGCTCAGTGTCTGGCACCGTCTCAGTTGCTGGATGTGTCACCTGGTGACGCCATGTTGCCTCCCATCCATGCAGCTGCTGCTTGAGAAGCGCTCAAGCCCACCGCAAGTGATTTCCAACGCCGAACCATGCTGCTGCACCTTGACCCCGCATGGAATCTTACCCGGCAACTGAGCCAGTGATACGCACTGCAATGACATTGGTGGGGTGAGGACGCCGAACCACAAGGGAGCAATGACTTTGGACTGTGCAACCCCACAAGCGCGGCAACGCTCTTTGAAAGAGCAATCACACGCACAAGGTTGGGTCCCTCCGTTTCTGCTGCCAAGCTCTAACAGTCTCGTTTCAATTCAAATTCAGTGGCAACGCACGAATATGTAGCCGCACCGTCCAGCCGGCAAGGTCCATCCAGGACATTCGACCTGACACATGGGTTTACCCACCAGCCGCCCAGCAAGCATCAAAGCCACTCAAACACAAGAAGCTCCGCTGCTCCTGCCCCTTCCTGGCGACCCTTCCCGCCCCCAGGCCCGTCGGTAAACTCGGCCGCCACCACAGGCCCCTCGAACCAGAACGCATCCCCAGGCGCGAGCACCGGCCCTCCCCTGAGCACCGCCGCCGCCGCCGCGGGCCGCCCCGACAGCGCCACCACCACCCCGCAGAAGCCCCAGTCCACCGGCCCCGTGCTGCCGCCAGGGGGCACGGTCACGCGGTACGCGCGCGCCTTCGGGTGCTGCGCCGCCTCCAACTTGTAGCAGGGGTGAGCCAGGGGCGCCTCTGACGCGACGCGTGGCGGCGCCAGCACCTCCGCGCCCACGAACAAGAGCGAGCCCTTGTTTTCCGGGGCCGTCTGAATTCTGTGGATCTTGTGGCGCCGCTTGTTGAGATGGCAGAAGCAGAGGCCGGGCGTGAAAGAGACCGGCGCCGGCGGCAGCAGGCTGAGGGGCGCCTGCAGCTCGTCGTCGCTCAGAACAGCCTATGGGGGGCCCAGCATGAGCGCCGGGGCGGGCCGAATTAGGCCGAATTAGGGGCAGTAGACAAACGCACGTGCTGCCATGTGCTGCACATGCAGGGCCGTGTGGGAGGCTTTGAGTGGAAAGCAAGGCGGCGTGAGTTCGCACTTCTCTGGCGAGTATTTGTGCAAGCAAGGAGTTGATGGACGAATATGGCACTGTGCGCTGTTGACAACTGGCCGCGCGGGAAGGTCCGACCAAGTAAGGCAGGAGGCAGTCACCTCTGTGTTGAGGACCACACCGCCTGGGCCCTCTGAAGATATGCAGGCATACACGGTGTCCTGTCAGATTGGGGTTATGCGGTGGAGGCGCCGATTGCAGGTGGCTGTCGGTTTGGCAATCGGCTGGGCTGGCATCCTGACAGCAGGCAGGGGCGCCGCGCGAGAGCAGGGACTTTGGTTAGCGCGGCGCAGCCGACGCGCCCGACCGCTCTTCTTATTCGGCACCTCACCTCGCGGTGCGCATGGAACAGCGTCTCGCAGGGCTGGCCGGCATCAAACTGGGTGGGCGGGGGGAGATTGCGGACGGGTTGCAGCTGTGTGCGCAATGAGCCCACGTCGTGGACCGCAATGCCGGATTACTCACAAGCCGTTAAAAACGGCTGCCCAGTGCGCAGGAATGGATGTCGCACCTGCGCCTTGTAAATTCTGGTGTGCTCATTTTCAAACACTAGCTCATGACGGGGATCGTCAGGCCACTCCACCCACTCCAGCATGTCGCCATTGGTGAGCCGGCTGGCATTGATGGCCGCAGGCGCTCTGCTGCGGGGCATGCGAGCAGGGCCCTTCGAAATCGCACAAGTGCTTCAGTCGTATTACCACTGCGCCGTTGATCCCACTCTCTACTGCTTGTCGCGGCTGTGCTGGAGGGCAAACCACATTGGAGTGCAGCTCAGCACGAGCAGCGAGCGGCGGCAGAGCCTGGGTGCCGGGTCTGCAAAGCTTGCTGACAGGCCGGTTGCAGAATTTTTTTGCGTTTACACGTATTAAAATGATAATGGCCGGCACATATGTATTGACTGCTGCCGTGAGGGCGATCTTGCGTGCAACGAGCGATCTTGATATAGAACTCAATTTGATGAGCCTCTTGCAAATGAGAGACCGAAAAAAAGCCATTTCCCGTCACAATGGAGCACTGCGCCGCCCCACCTGTATCAAACGATGCGTCATGCTGCAGATGTCATGTGCATACGGTACCTCCCTGCTCGCTGCAGCCCTCCTGATGAGTGAGCGAGTGTATTATACCTACCAGCAGACCATCAACCTCAGGCCGATTTGTTTACACCAATCTTGAAGTCTGTTGGTTACCTGTAAGGTGGATGCTCTGCAATTTCAGTCAAATGGCAGTTTCGGGGAGCTCCTAGCAGGTTCGGCCAGGCCCGTTGACATGGTATGCCTGCTTGTTGACCAATGCTTGCGGGTTGCCGCATGTTGGACACAAGCACTTGGGTATGACTGCTCAAACCGCGGACGACTCAGGTGCGCTTTCCTCTTTCAAGGCGCAGCAGGGTGACACGACATTCCAAAGGCAAGCCCCGCTGTGGCGCTCCCTCGCAACCCACCATCGCTGTGCCCAAGCAAGCACTGATCCAGGCCACACTTGCTCATTCAACTATTCAGATCCTCACAATCCTACGACCCAGTACCTACACGCACTATCCCCCGATACGGAGCCCGAGTTACAGGCGTCGCATGTCGTCACTGGGACACTCTCTCTGACCAGCACGGCCGCATGCGCAACTTCATGCGCTTGGCGCTGTCGCCCATCACATCGGTTCCTCCTAGAATTGACTTACAATGACGAGCTAGCTATTAGGAAAGGGGGTCGCTTGAGTGCAAGGCGCCATGGCCCGATCTGGGGTCCCCGCATGGCTGGCATGTCTGCTGCTCTCTACGGCGTTAGCATCGACATGTGGGGAGCCGGAGCGTAAACTCACGCGGCAGAAGGCCCGTAACTGGGATGCGGAGGCGAGAAAGAGGGCCGCGTCCTCGGCGAAGGCTTTCTTGGAGCAGGCTGATCAGGTGTGGAAGACAGGCAGTATATGAACCAATGGGAGTGGCTGATTGTGGACGGGGCCGCGATCTGAATTCTGGTGTTGGGACACATCCATCGTCCAACCGACGGGCGTGTCAACAGTTAGGAGTGGCAACGCGACTGCCAATTGAAAGCATCGGCTATGATGCAGCATTGCCATCATGACTGCAAGGCGTGTGTGCGCCGCTGCCACCTGCCCCGACGGGTTGTGCTGCTGCGCCCTCTGCCGCCGCTCGCGGCCCGTCTGCGACGCAGTCGCTGGTTGTGCCTGTCGAGGTGGACGTCTTCCTGATCGGCTTCGAAGCCGACGGCGGCTATGCGCACAAGGTGGACAGCATGATGCTGCAGAACCTGCTCAACGCGGGCGAGGAGGTTACCCACTGCCCGCGCTCTCTTGACACGCGGGGCGACCTGGGGCTGTGCTTCAAGGTGCACTACCAAGTGCTGGGACATGCAGAGCTGGGAGGCGAGGTGCGGGGAGGCCCTGTGCGGGGTTGGTCTGACGACAAGGGCAACAGCGCCGCCCACTCGCAGCCGAGCAACGGCTCGCGAGATGGCGGGAGCGGCGGCTGCCGGTGCAGCAAGCGTGGCTGGACATCGCAGTGGCTTGTGTTTGCAACGCAGCTGTCCAGCGCGCGCATGCAGTCGAGGTGCAGTGCAACCCAATCACTGGTTTGGGTTAGCCTGCAGTGAATGCATGCAAAGAAGAGGCACAATTGTTTGGTTTTGCGTGGGGAGAGAACGCCGAGCAGGGCTCGCGGTCTGCCTTCACCGCGTCACCCGCTACCTCCTCCTGGATCCCGCCCCGTCCCACCCGCCTAGGCCGGCCAATTGCTGCGCAATATCGAGGCGTACCTCAAGCCAAACCTCAAAGACCCCTTTGAGGCCATGCCGTGGGCGCGGCCGCGGGGCAGGGGCACGCCAGGGACGCCGGAACCAGGTGCGCGGCCCGCCCCGGCGCGCCCGCTCGCGGTCAACCGCAGGCGCCACGCGCGCCGGAGGCCCCGTGGGGGCTCACGCTCGCGGTCGCACCTGTGCTGAGAGCTTGCGGCTGTCGGCGTTCTTGCCGCCGTGCGGCGCTCGCGCCTCCGCAGGGCACTTGGAACCGACAGAGTACACCGTGGATGCTGCTGGCCTGGAGCCGCTGTTCGAGGCGTTCCTTGAGTTTGCGTATGGCGTGTCATGTGAGGGGGCGGCGGCGCAATGGGGCCCCTCTACTGGCTTTTTGGGGGGCAAAGGGGCGGTGTGAAACCTCCTGCACATGCCGGAATGGCAGGGCTTGAGGGGCGACGGCGGGTGGAAGGCGTCTGCAGGCGAGCCCCTCAAAGTGCAAGGGAATGGCAGGAAAGTGGCGTTGATCGCTGACGTGCGCACGGTGCAGCCCAGCCTGCCGCCTTTGCGGCTGAGGGGACGGTGCCCTCGGCGCCAGCCCATTTCCTGGGGCTCCCTCGATCCCTGCCCCGCTCGCAGCCTCGGAGTCTGACGAGGCGGCCAAGGCAGGCCACAACTGGCACCAGCACAACCCCATCTTCATCATCAACCCCAGCAAGGTGGGCGGCCGACGCCGCCCCGCGAGACGCGCCCCCACGCCTGAGGCCGTGTGCCGCTCACCAGCCATGCACAGCAAGACGGCAGATGCCAATGATGCCATTGCGCAGGGGGCGCCCGTGTCCGTGGCTCGACCGCGCACTGTGCTTCCTGCATTTGTGCCGCAAGTAGAGCACCCACATCCTGGGCTCGCCTGTGCGCCCCCTTGCCCGACGTCCCCAATTCCTCATCTCACCAAGCTCCGCGGACACTCACACCCCACCACACCATGTGCGTTAACACCACACACCACACACCGCTATACGACATCACATCCCATCGCATTGCATCGCGCCACCCCCCTCTGACCCCAGGTGCGCATCAACCCCAAGGGCCACCCTGAGGACCAGAACCACCACGTCCCGGACTTCTTCTACCAGTGGCACAGGCGAGGCGGCGGCCCAGCGCCGAGGAACGACGCTGACGTCATGCGGCGTCATTGGGCCGAGGGGGGCGCCGGCCCGTCGCAGATCGCTCCGCCCCAGGGCCGGCGCGGCCCGTGGGGCCTGCACGCCTGGCCAGACCCGTTGACCACAAGCCGGCGCGATGCGGTGCTGAAGGGCACCCTGGCGCGCATGCTCCCTCCCAAGCTCCCCGGCCTTCTTCTCCTCCCTCTCTTCCCCCTTCCAGCCACACGTACAAGCCGGAGGAGCTGGAGAAGGAGGAGGCCGGCCTCACGTACCGCTACAGCTACAACGGGGCGGGCGCCTCGGCCGCGTGGTGCGCGCCCGGGGAGTCCTGGGTGCGGCCGTGGAGCCCGGAGACGGGGCGGCTGTGTGGTGGGGCCCTGGGGAGCCTTGGCAAAGGGGGTTGCGGCGGTGGAGCCCGGACATGCTCTCCCACGCGGGTCCTAGGCCGCCGGCGCCGCCGACTTACCCGCATCGACCACTGCACCGTCGCTCACCCCTGGGGCTGTCGCAACCGTCACCACTGCCTCATCGCTACCCTCCCCTTGTTTTCGCCCCCCTCCCCCCCCCCTCGACGAATCAACCCAGGACGTCGTCCCGCAACTTTGTGGTGGTGGACGTGGCCGCGGGGCCTGCTATCTATGGCCCTGCGGTGGCCGGCCGCGGCGGCGTCGTGGGCCCGACATCCTTCCCCTCACTCAGGGTGCGCCGCGCCCCCACGCCGCACCCCTGCCTGTGCGGCACATAACACCACTCTCCCACCTTTTGGTTGCCTTGCCCCGTCCCCCGAGCCACGATTAAATTCTGCACTCGCCCCCCCCCCCCATCGTGCGCCCCGGTGTTGTCCGCGTTGGCACTCACCAATCCACCCCCAATCCGTGCGCTCCCGCTCCCCCGCAGGACGTGTACCGCGCCATCTTTGCGGATTTGAAGGACGTGGGCCCGACGCTCACGGCCCAGGAGCACGCACAGGTGCGGCCGCAGCCCTATCATGCAAGTTTTTAATTGGGGAGGCCGGATCTTCAGTCTAGGGAGAGCCCGGGCGTCTTGTACGCGCCTGTGCTCGTCTTCCAAGTCTTGATGGAGTCCTGCGCCGGCCCTGTCAAGTGCTGACGCGGGTCCATGCCCACACATGCACACACACTTCCTTGAAGAGGCATGCACACAGTCGCACTGCACGCACGTGCGCTCTCTCTCTGTCACACACACACACACACACACACACACAGCCCAACCCAACCCAACCTAGCCCAACCCACACACCTCATCTCACCGTACTGCAACGCCCCCCGCAGGTCGTGGCCGAGCACGCCCAGCGCGCCCTCTTTGACGGTGCCCTGTCATCCACCATAGTGTCGGCCACGCGGTCCCTCTTCCTGCCAGACACCACCACTGAGCACCTGGAATACGCGCGGTCACTGCTGGTGGGCGGGCGCGGTTGAGGGCGGGCCCGGCCGTTTTACGCGTGGGGTCGACTGGGAGGTGGGGATGTGGCAAAACCCACAGGTGTCGTCAGGACTTGCAGGGGTGTGTGCAGGTGGGGGAGGGGTGTCGAGCAGAGGCAGGGGGGGGTTGATGGGGCTTGAGCCATGCACGCTGTTGGGCGACGGGACCGATGCCCCTAGGAAAGGATGACGGCGCGCTGTGGTGTCGCATCGGGTATAAGGACTCCTCCCTCGTGGCTGCTCTGGCTGGTAAGCCCGCCAACCCCC